TCAACAATTGGAAGCCCACATCGTGCTCTCTCTTGTGCCATCAAACATGGCGCACATGTGACACCCACAACATGCACACGGGCACCGCGGTTTGTTTAAGTTTTTTTTCTCGATCTCGCCCGTGATGCCGCCCAAGCCCTAACTTTCACACCCGTTGCAGAGAGACAACCGGGCATCTCCGCTGGCGGCTTTCCCTATCAACATACCACAGAGGGTGTTCGTGTGAGTTTTTTGGACCGCGAGAGGGGGTTGGGAACCGCGAGAAGTCGAGGTGCTTTGTTTTGAGCTCACAGTACCGATTTGGCCACTCCTGTGGTGGTTGTCAGGGCTTCTCAATGCCACGTAGCCGCCATTCCTACATCTGTGTGGTACCAGGAGTGTCGTCGGTTATTGGGGTCTACAGTGTAGCGCTGCTCTTTGTTGTGTACTGCTGTGAGATTTGTGAGAGATTTCTCGCGGCCCGAGCGGAGGGGGGCTCGCAACAAGAATTCGGTGGGGGGCGAAGTGCTAAAAGGGCACATCCGCATGGTGAGAGTACATCCTGAAATTCGCCACGGGGATCATTCCCCCAGCCTAGTGAGGTACTTCTTCGCATCATGGGTAGTGATACTGTGATGAATCGCCGAAAAAACTCCCCCATTCCAGGGTTTCTAGTGTCAGCTCAACCTGAGCCAGCCCTCACATTGCAATGTTCGAATAGTGGCGAGTTGTGTACAACCATGACGAAGGAGGAACATCCTACCCCGGCCGCGGGCATACCCATGGTAACCATAGTGAGAGTGGGACAGCAGTGGCAGCAACAGCAGCAGTAGCTAAGCAAATGTCGTATTGAAAGCATTAACACTCCCTTGGCACGAAAACCTTGTCTCGGGGAATGGTTTTCACTCGTTCAGGAAACACAAGACACAGAGCAATGAAGCTGTTGAGGTATTCGGTATTGACAAGTATGTTGTGCTGCCTTGCCCGCACGAAGCACCATTGGCTGGCCTTGCGCGCCAAAGAGCAGCGTTGCGCTTCTGACTTGAATTCACGCGAGAGTCGAGAGACGGCGGAATCGACGGCAACAAAAGGAATCTGACAAAGCACAGAGACTCGCCCTAACATCGTATGTTGCCCTCACATGCTCACCCCGAAATCCACGTGGCTTTCTGTCGAAGGTATGTTTTGTTTTGAACCTGGAACGCTACTTGCAGAAACCATTGCAGTATTTTGCCAGTCTCGCCGCTAGGTACGTCCCCACGGCTTCGCGCTTCAAGCTACCCGCGCCCCGTTTGTCGCGGAGAGATCGACTGAAGGGGGTATACATGCCTCCTGGTGGTTCTCACACCGCCTCGCGTTCCCTTTTCCAGCGGCTTCTGCTGCCTCACACCAACGTGTATCGAACGGCCCGCTGTTGTGCCTCAGGATACAACTGAAGCTGATATTCTTCTTGACTTTTCTTTGTGTGCGGTTGCCGTACGTTTTGGTGCTGGCGTCCGTATGTGTGCAGAGAGGAGTCGGTGCCTTGACGCCTTCATCGTCGCCTTGAGCCAAGCGTGCGAGGGAGGGGGGAAGCAGTGGTACGCGTCTACGCTGGAGCTGCAGCTGACGTCGCTAGATTTCTGCAGGGCATGCAGGAGCGTCCCAACGCTGGACGTGTCTGTCGATGAGCATACACCCCATAGCTATTGGGCTCCAAATACGACGCAGACCCGGCCGATTACACGCAGCTCGAAGGTGGCTCGCATCTCGAGCCGGGTGCCGGCCGTCCGGGCTGCCGGCTTGACGTGGGGGCTTCTATTAGAGGTCCTGTTGCAGAGTACCGCGATGGAGCTGTGGGGATGGTCGAACGTTCTACGACTGCGCGGGGCTGTGGATTCAGCTAGCCTTGAGTCGGTGACTTGGCCGCCGCGGCTGAAACTGTTGTCGTTTGGAGATGGCTTCAACCAGCCCATCGCCGGAGTTGCGTGGCCGGCCTTTCTGCGGGAGCTCTTGTTTGGAGATGACTTCAACCAGCCTATCGCATGTGTTGTGTGGCCGGCCTCCCTACAGCAGTTATCTTTCGGAGTTTTCTTCAACCAGCCTATCGCCGGAGTTTTGTGGCCGGCCTCTCTGCAGCAGCTGTGGTTTGACAACGACTTCCACCAGCCTATTGCCGGAGTTGCGTGGCCGGTCTCTCTGCAGGAGCTATCGTTCGGAGAATTGTTTGACCAGCCAGTCACCGGAGTCGTGTGGCCGGACTCTCTGCAGCATTTGTCGTTTGGAACTGCCTTCAACCAGCCTATCGCCGGAGTTGTGTGGCCGGCCTCCCTACAGCAGCTGTGTTTTGGACCTTTCTTCAACCAGCCTATCGCCGGAGTTGTGTGGCCGGCCTCCCTACAGCTGCTGTTTTTTTCAAATTGCTTCTGCCAACCTATCGAAGGAGTTGTGTGGCCGGCCTCCATACAGGACCTGTCGTTTGCAGGCTGCTTCAACCAGCCCATTGCCGGAGTTGTGTGGCCGGCCTCTCTGAAGCAGCTATCGTTCGGATATGCATTCAACCAGCCCATCGACGGAGTTGCGTGGCCGGCGTCTCTGCAGGAGTTGTCGTTCGGGGATAGCAGTAATGGGTCAAAATTTTCCCAGTCTATTGACGGGATTGAATGGCCGACCTCCCTTCGCGCTGTGATTCGTGCGGGAGTCCATCTGCTATGAACATTTCTTTGGCGTAAATGTGGTGTCGTGTCTGCGGTGCACGGCACGATAGCGCCATACCCTGTTTACATGGCTACAAATTGTCCACCTGTTGAGGTAGGGAATTGGACAGCAGTCGATCGGCGGGTCGTCTTTAAACTAGGGTGACAGTTCGGTTGTCGTAGGTCCCTTCTTTTGCGTAACAGGGACGGGATGCGTGGGCTGCTTTCTGAATCCAGAGAAACCATAGTGCGAGATCGATGCGATTCCCGTTGCCGTCGATCTGGCGCGGTTTGTTTGTGCGCGCGGCTGTGGGTACTAGGCTTTTGGCGGGCGGCGCTACCCAAAACTGTGCAAAAAGTATGAGTCCTTTTTCGCTTTTTCGAGTTTCTTGCCCATTTTTCGCGCCGCATTGAAAGAGTTTTGATCTCTCCCCAGTAGATCATTTGCCTTGAGGCAACGCCACACCCCGTGTGAAGGTCACAGACTCATGCAGGCTTGGCTACTTTTCTGGGGTTATGACGGCTCTCACACACCTCACCAGGAGGCCTTTCCAACGTCGTATACACAGGTCTTGCTGATGTGCGTTGCTGGATTTGTTGACTTGGTGTGGAGACGATATTCCTATTGGGTTGTTGTTCTGCACAGAGAGTTGTTTTGCGTTCCGAACTGCGCGTCTGACCCGAAACATTCCGACATCTGTGGCCTGCCGACATGAAGGGCATTGCAAGCACCATCGACCGTTGGAACAATACAAGGAGATGGGGCCGCAGTTGTTACGGAAGCCGCCGTTGTGAAGGCGCACAAACATGGCGCCTTCCGGCGTGCAATAGACGCGTTGCACTCGCCGCTGCCACCGCTGCCGCTGCTGCCACTGCCGCCGTTGTCTGCGCCCGCGCCCGCTCCCGTGCACGTGAACGCCTCTTCGTATCCGCCCGTTCTCTTCTGGGCCTGTTCTTGTTCTTGTTCTTGACTGACATGTTTCACCTGAGACAGGAGGGGAAGAGGAGGTTGGTGCGGGACGGCATTGTAACTGACGTATTAGCTCGACACGTGCTAAATAGGACGACAGTCAGTTGACTCAAGATATATTTGGGCGGGGGAGGAGCGTGGATGCAGAGTTAGGACAGAGGGCCCGTGGGTGGAGCCATCGCATTGGGGGTGAAGTTCGGATGGAGGTTTCGCGGTAGAGGGGTATGGCGGTCTCCCATACACGTCCTTTAGGTAGGAGGGCAGAATTGCAAAGATAAGTCGGGCGACTTTGAGATATGTAAGTCGTGCGACATAAAAATGATGTATTGGCTCGAAAACGCCACACAGAGGCCGAAACCCGAGGAGATATGAGTTCAATGAGTAAGAGAGAGAAATGGGCGCTGTTCGCTCACTGAGTGCTATTCCGGGACTCCGCGAATCGTCGGATAGAACCTCTACAACACGGAATGTTACTACAGCGCCGAAAGTAGGACTCAGGCTGGACGCAGGACTCAGGACGTCAGGACCGGTCAGGACCGGTCAGGACCTACAGCACTTAACACTTAACAGTAGTGGTGGTGGTTCTGAACTGAACCGTTTAATAAATAGAAAGTGAACCGGTTTTGTCAAAACCGGCAAACGTAACAAACGTTTTTGTACAGCAAACCAGATTAAATGTGTTGACTTGCTCGGGCATGTAGACAGCGTTGTTGTCGTGTCTCGTGCGTCGTGCTTCTGACAGGAGATCGCATTCTCCTGTAGACACGCCCCGCAGACTACTTTCGTTTCGGGCTTAGAAGTTCCAGGAACAACCCAGTCGCCAGTCGCAAAGGCGATGCCACTGTACTTTTTCCAGCAAAACCAAGTCTTGGCTCTTTGGCCTGATAACGAGGCGATGACCAATATGGACCACATCCACACGTGGGTGCTGTGGCGTTCGCCCACCCATCCTGCCCCGCTTTTCGCTCACAACTGTCTGAGAAGGAGAAGGGGGGATCGTGACTGTTTTCCTGTCCGATTTGTCGCAAGGTTGGATGTTTGCCGTAGAAAAGTAATTAATCAGCTCGGGTGATACGGTAGCAACCTCGAACAAACACGAAGGATCTCATGGCGACGGCTACAGTATAAGACAAACCGCACTAAGGATGGCAGAGTCCGATATAGACTGACCGAGCTTGTTACGCGATGCCTCCGAAGTTCGAAGCCAAAACCGAGCGCAGGTGTTCGTCGCTGCGGATGCTGATATCAAGTTCGTTCAAAAAGTAGGTAGCTCGGGGAAACTTCCGAGAAAAATCTCGGCGCAGAGACCAGCTGACAACCTCGGACCTTCCGCTGGTGTGGCTGCTTGGTACGTTGCCATGGTACTCGGTTGAAACCAATTGGAGCTGAGCGATAGCTGTCTCTCGAAAGGCATCTACTCCGCTCTCAACGCTGCTGCAGGTGAAGCCACACTCGTCGTAGTTGCGGTCTTGTTGTCGGGACATCCCTTTCGGACGGCGATTCGTCCGCTGGCAAAATACACCCAGCCTCCTCCCACCAAGGCGATTCGTTACCCCTGCTCTTTGAAGCCTAGCTGTGCAGCACTTCTGAACTCGGAGTTACGGCTTTTGCAAGCAGGGCCATCTGGTTTGTCTCAGCCAAGACCTACAGCAGATGTGAATAAGGGTGAGGGTACGTGTGTCTCTCGGTCACTTCTTTCTTGGTCATCCGCATCGTGTATGCACCCTACACAGCAGTCAGGTGTGTATGCCTTCGGGTTCCAAGCAACTTTCCTGCAGCGCCCGGCACCCTCGTTGTGACTTGCCTAGGATCAGCGGTGCTTACATTTGTGGCTTCCGTCAACTTTATTGTAGTGACTCATCAGATCCGTGGGGATCAAGCAAAAGCCAATGAATCGCGAGGCTTCCCCACGACTCTAAAAAACTCTACAACAGGGAATGTACGATAAAGGAAACCCAACGAGACCATGTCACAAAAAACGCGTCGCGTGTACGGGGTCAAGAGGTGTAATATAGGCAGCAGCAGTGGGTCAGGAATCTTGACCGAACATCTGTCTGTCATGATGGTGCTGGGAGTCACGGATCCTCATCTCCTAAACTGTGGGTTGTGGTATGGCCCGTGGTGCTGTAGACTTTAGCAGTGGACCCTCAGCTCCAGGTCAGGAGTCGGGGCGGCTAAGCACAATGTGGTGTCGGTTCAGATTGCGGACTTACATGTGGAGCTGCACTGCGACTGCCGCTGCTCTACAAAAATCACTCTTCCCCGGCAGCAGATCTGGATATGCCAGCAGCCATGTCACATCTATGACCAATGCCACGATAGGGGGGGCACTTTTTGCAGCCTCTCGGCCTGGGCTACAGGTACCTTCTTTGAATTTTACCCCGCTATCATGGTGTCTGTATTGATCCAATACGGTACTTCTCCAGTGCTGATTGGACTTCAACCTTCAAGCGAAGACTCCTCCCAGTCGGCACGTCAGACGAAAAGAACGCCCACAGTAGTGTTGCATGTTTTGTTGCGAGTTCAAGAGTCGGGTTAGGAACTATTTGACAGCCCGTTTGTTGTGCAGTTAGTTGGAGATTGACTATTTTTTTGTGCATGGAGGTGCAGCCCCGCTCGCTCGGTGAGCGAACCAATCATATTTTGTTGCGCAACGCTTCCCGACTGATATGGTTCGTTCGCGGTTGGTCAGGTTTATCGCGCATTTTTCATACCACCAAGCAAGCCCAAGAGACGACGCTTCGTGCATCGCCATCAAGACATATTTTTTCGTTGTTTGTTTGCGTCTCACGCGCCACACACCCTCGTCTCCAACCGCGTACTCCCTTTGCACTTTTTTGCCAGTTAGGTGTGTTCCCGTCTAACCCCGGAAGTGCAAAAGTAGACATTGCACTGAGTGTGTTTACTTTCCCCTGTACACGCAAACTTTGTCTGCCGCCAAACTGATCGCTATCACCCCAGGAAACGAACATCATTTGGCGCACAATCGCACACCTGACTACTAGAATAATATGGTAGTGTTATTGTCGTTGCACTGTCGGAGCTAGTTTGTTGTCGTTTGCTTTTCTGCTATGAACTCTCCTTGACTATTATGTGCCCTCGGTAGGCACCGCTTCTTTGCCCACGATGTGTCCACTTTGCCCCAGCACGTGGTCGAGACTCCTGCACCAATATATTTACCGCGCCGTTTGCGCGAAGCTTGCACGACAAGCCGAAGTATGTCTCCACCCCAGCTAGCCTGGTCGTAGATATTTGTGCGTTTTCGGTGACAACCCCTCCCGCTCTCACTACCCCTCGTTCCTTACATGTTTGTCGGTGCTCTGGCTCACCTGCTACAAGCAGAACACACACGCAAATCGGTTCTCACACAGCACAGGTGGTCCATTCGTCGTATGGCAGCACCAATGGACTCTGCGGAGGGGGGTAGCGACTACTATGATTCTGGAGACGAACAAGGAAACGACCTCGGCGACGTGATGAAAGAAAATCCTTCTCTATGGGTATGTCGTAGCAGTGTCATAGCAAACCGGCCGTTTTTGTATATGCTCCTGTGTAAGGAGGTGGCGAGCTGAGCTCTGACCTTCCTTGCTTGTTGCCATGCTGTGAAACATATCGCAACTGAACTTTTGACAATCTGCAAACAGTTTGTAAATGCTCTCACATGGTAAGACTGTTGGCTATATCATTTTTTAAACCTCGAAGGACAAGGAAATCCGGGAAGCCGGTCCTTTCCGATTTCGCGTGTGTGAATACCCAGCTCGCAAACCGCCTTCTGTCGCTACCGCAACCATGAGCGAGGAGCAACTGTTGAATGTCCCGTTGTGGTTCAACGACAAGTGAGGTTGTTTCCCTTTTCCTGCGTTTGCTTGATGCTGTCACAGGCCATGTTCATCATGGCATATCTGGTGGTGTGGGTTCAGGGCTTGGCCTTTTCGTCCACGTGAGTGCTACACACACAACACCAGTGTAATCTGTCGCTCCTGGTGAAACGTTTCCGGAAGTTGTGGGGAGAGGCAGAGAAATACAAGCTGGCTGACCGGAGCTGAGTGTATTGTCGATTGAGCTTTCTGCAGACACATCCAAGGCACAACGGCGGGAGTATTGCGAGCGATGGTTGTTGACAATGCCTGGAACGAACTGCCAGCGCGCGATACATTGAGTGAGTTGGGTGAGCTTTTTCGTGGTAGGATCCGGTGGTTTTGTTCTTCTCTTGTCTGAACCCGAGTGCATCACCAGGGATTGATATATGCATCACGACGACTGTCGTCGCAGAAGTCCCCACTGAAGTCGTCTCGAATGATGCCTCTGCCACCGTCCCAGGTGCTTCAACCGTTCTAGGTTCTACCGGGGGGGCTTATGCATGCAGGGCCACAACCCCATCTCGAGGATGATATTTGTGGTGGGTCATAGGCGGCGACCGTAGACGACACAGAAGCGCCGTCGTGATGATGATATCATCGATTTCTTGAAGCGCCGTCGTGATGATGATTTCGTTTTGATAGGGACGGGTTGCCCCAAACCCATCCAGTGCCCCATCGCACGGCACCCTTTCTTGCGGTGCATAACTTCCGGCGCGGCGTCCGTTACGAATAATTGCCTGTAAGGTCGCACTCCGGCTCCCACAAAACTGCCTATGCTTAACCCGCTGTTCCCCTTTTTGTGCCTCTTACAGCATACCGCTACGTCGTTTGTTCCCCAGCCGTTCCTCGTACTTGTTGTCGTTCCAGCATTCGGGATCTTCACGGCGCCAGTCATGACATGCTGGTCACTCTGCCGAGTATGTTTCCTTCTCGGAAGGGTTGACTGCGACTTCCCTGGTAAGCTTTCAAGTTCGTGGCTTCTCTACTTTCGCAACTTTCTCACACCCTCACGGAACGGTGGCGTTTCGTAATCATGGACTAGAATGAAGGTCGAAGAGTGAGACAAAACATCCTTCTTTATCTACCCGAGCCCACTCCCCACCCTCCGTCCGCGCTCTGTACAGCGGGATGGCTCATGAGGCCCCCCCAGCGACGTCGCCATCTCTCCAACTTTCCGAGCGGGAGAGAACGGCGCTGGAAGCGTCGGGGCTGGCTCGTGATGCTGCGAGCTCGTCACCAAATCTTCTTGGCACAGCTACAGCAGAATGATTCTCAGCCTTGGTTATGCAAGCGGAAGTTGAGAGATCTGTGTGGTATCACGCGGGTGATGACGGCGGATGATCCCCTAGCGACCGCCGGCAACGAGCCTTCCGTAGGCGCGCAAGGGATTGCTGACATTGAATTGAATGAGCAAGGCACCTATGACCAGGAGTTTGCTCAGGCTGTGGTTTCGGTCGCGGGTATCATGGAGGAAGGCATTTTTCGCGGGATTACCTTGTATCTCTAGGACCTATGGGTGGAGGTCGCTGAACCGAACTGGGTTTTTTGTCGCCGAGCGGGAAACGTACAGCAAACAGGGTGGGCATTTGATAGACAGATGGTAGTCATCTGGTGGTAACACTGAAGACACTAGTGTACCCAGAACCAGCCAGGCGCAAGGCCGTCAGCTCCCTCCCCCCCACGTGGGCGAGGGCGTTGAACCTGCACACGCCGTCCGCAACAGCAACGTAAACAGCGGGAAGTTGTAGACTACAGCAGAAGTTAGATATGTAGAACCTTACAAATGCTTGCTTGATTCCGCGGTACGTGTGCTTCCGGTTGGAGTTTGAACTCAGATGAATAAAATATGTGGTAGCAGCTTAGTCGTCGTGCGTTGTAACCCGACAGGCAGGCGAGGTCGCATGCTCTCGTAGACACGACGGCAATACACGTACGTTTGGTGTCCATGGCGTTGTCGCTACGTACAGTGTGTACGGAGGCTGTTTGTGACAAGAGGCCCCGGTATTGGGTTGTGCGTTCGGACAAATAAGAACCGCAGAACTTGGGGATATCGAAGTCACTCCCGCATCGTAGGTCGAATCGTTGGCAACAAGAGAGCCTAGAGAATGCTAGGGACGTAGCGTTGTTCTCGCTGGCGTTCTACACGAGGTGGGAGGATTCGACATCTATTCGACGCCCTTGGCCGCCCTATCAACCGGCGAACCTCTTTTATCTCTTCCGGCGCCGCGTGCCCATTGTAAGGTACTGTTGAGAGCGATTAGATCCCCAATGATTTCGTGATTTCACGATGCTATACATATGCATACCAATGTTCAATTTGAGCAGCCTGATGGGAAAACTCGCAAAATAATGCAAACTCTAATCTCACCGCACCATCGAGAAAAACAAAACCGTGAACATCCCCGGGTACTACTCCCAAAAGCATGACCATCACAAGCTCTTTTAATTGGGCAGCCCCCTATTCCCTTCTCCGCCAAACGGTCTGGATCTGCCCAAGAGCTACCGGCAGCTTCCTTGCTCAAGGAGTTGCCAACTTCACCAGCACACTTGGTGCCGACACCCTTACCCATGGCTCACGTCAAAGATGGGCCCCGCACATCTACCACGACACAAGAAAAGGAAGTTTACACGCAAACTAGCACCTTCATATTTGCTAGGGTTGCTGGAAGACACACCACCTACAACATCTATCGAGGTGCTACCACTGAGGCACGCAAGGGTGGGAGGTGGGAGAGGGACAAAAGAAAACGATCCAATCACCCAAGATCTTGCAGCGTGTGCCCGAGATGCCATTCCTCCACTGGTCGGACAAAAACAGTACACGGTCACGGGTTCAAGTTTAACGCCTACTGTACGATCAGTGTCAAGTTGTGTTGCACCCACAGCACTCACTTTGAAACAGACACGGACGCAGCGCCATAAATAGCGCGTGTAGCCGAGATGGCGGCGAGACGCTCCGGCGAAGATTGTATCATGTTAAGAAAATACGGGAGGTCAATATGACCACGGAAGCGCTGGACCTGGGCTCGACTGCATGGGAGGACGGTGGCTCCCTACGTTGGCCAATGACTCTGGCGGAGCAATAAACCATCCCGGGGAGGGTCAGCATCGAGGTGAACGCCCTGTTGCCGGGCCCCCAGCCCCACACGGCCCAGCTGCTGGTCGTCTTCCCCCTCAGGAGGTTCGACCCTCAGAACGAACCAGGTATCAGCGTGGCCCGAGGAGTGCAGTGGTGGAGGCCCGGCACTCTTCCGAAGCTCAAGTTGGTCAACCGCACAACCACCCCCAAGTCCATCGGGGCGGAGGTGCAGGTCGCCATGGCCTACGCCACCAACTGTGACGACATAGAGAAGATGGTGCTGCTCAAGGAAACGATGCCGACACTATCGCCGACGCGGCTGACGCCGGAACCAACGCCCTCGGATGCCACGCCGCTACCGGACCCACCTGCGGAGCAGGGCATACGCATCAGCGAAGCGAACACTGGACAACTCGGCCCCAAGTCACGCGCCCGGCTCCTCGACAGCATCGGCGAGGCAAACAAGAATGGACTGTTCCCCTCCAACCCCACGATCGTAGATGCCCTGCCGGGACGCGAGGTGCCGACCCCTCTGGTGGATGAAAACGTCACGCCGGTTGCTTGCAAACAGCAACAGTACACCCCCATTCAAGCCGACATCGTCAACAAGCAAGTCGATCTCTGGTCGACAACGGGTGTGGTACGCCCGTCGACTTCCGCCTGGTGTAGCCGTACCTCGATTGTGAAGAAGAAGGACGGAAGCAACCGCGTGACGGTCGACTACCGACCGCTCAACGCCGTCACGAAGAAAGATAGCGGAGGCATCGGCACGCTGGCGACCATGCACCACCGCATCAAGGGCAGTAAGTTCTTCACACTCCTCGACTTGCCATCAGCGTATCATCAACTCAGCATACGCGAGGTCGACCGCCACAAGACAGCCTTTAGGGATGCGCGGGGTCGACTCTACGAGTTTACAAGGTGTGGTTTTGGACTCACGACCATTCCCGCGGTCTTCTCCGCCCACCTAGGCGACACCCTCCGGGAGGTAGAGACCGAGGGAGACGTAGAACGATGGCTAGACGACATACTCGTGCACGGCGCCACCCTGGACGAACACCTCGCTCTTATCGAGAGGGTCTTTGGCCTCTTACACGGAGCAGGGTACTCAGTGCACTTCCGCAAGTGTGTGTTCTGCATGGCAGAGGTGGAGTTCCTCGGCGTCATGGTCGGCCGGGCGGGTGTACGATCCTCGCCCTCCAAGATCAAGGCGGTACGGGAGCTAAAGATGCCCACTACCGTGGGAGAGGTAATAGCATTTCTGGGATTCGCCGGCTTCCTACGGAGCTTCGTCCCGGACTTTAGCGCACTCACGGCGCCGATCACGGACTTGCTGCGGGATGCGGCGTTCAGCTCACGCCGAGCACGCAACCGCCGTGTACCGTGGGGCACCCCGCAGACCGAAGCCTTCCGATCAATCATCGGCGCCCTCATCTCCCACCCGGTGCTAGCGACACCAGACTGGGGACTCCCCTTCTCGCTGCACACGGACGCCAGCGAGCTAGCAGCAGGAGCGGTTCTCACCCAAGCCGTCGAGGGACGCGACACACCTCTGGGGTACGGCAGCCATCGTTTCACCCGGAGCGAGGAGAAGCTCTCCCCCAACGACCGCGAGGTCCTCGGAGTGCTGTACGGCATTGAGCAGTTCAGAACTTACCTGCAACACCGTAGATTTACACTGATCACTGACTGTGCAGCTCTGACGTGGCTGTTCACCAGCCAAAACCTATCTTCAAAGATGCACCGGTGGTCTCTACGGTTGATGCAGTTCGACATCGACCTCCAGTGGCGCAAAGGCAAAGACCATACGGCCCCGGACGCCCTATCCCGACTGCGCCGCAAAGGACCGCCGGAGCCGGCAATCGACACAGCGTTCCCCGACGACACTACGCAGCCGGTGGAAAACCAAGGCCCCACAGGACCTGTACTGGATGGTGTACCGCTCAGGACCCTGGCACCACCCGCTGACGAACGAGACGGCGACCCTACCCCACTGGAGTCGGCGGAAGACATCCACCTGGATCGGGATGACGAGCCTGTACTGGATGGCGTCCACCTCACCGCACTAGGCCCCACCGAGCCCTCCCGAACGCCGGAGATGAGCCTGGCCGCCTTCTACGCCCTACAACTCACGCCGGAGCCTCTGGAGGATGGTGATCTTCAGCGACGTCGGAACTACGAGGACACACGTTCCGCCCTGGCTCCGAGACTGCCACGGGCTGTCATCCTCGACTGTGAGCTGGCGGAGCACTGCTGGCGCTCCAGGGCCTCCTGCACGTCCAGGCCGCCGTCGAACCGGACTGGATCACGTTGGAGTGTGCCCGGTTCAACAAATGGAGCCGAGGAATCCAGCTGGTACGCTCGCCCCTCTCAGGCAAGCACTGCATGCACACACTAGCGGAGGCGCGACCGGAGGTCCTCATCGGTAACGCATGTCGCCGATACCACGCTCACAGCCACGGGGAGACCGCCGCACACCAGGCAACGGAAATCACCGAGACCTTCACCGCTTCGCGGGCGCAACTCCTGCTCATGGAGTGCCCAGCGGGGTTCGCAAGGACCCCGGCCTGGCGCGACGACCTGCGACCGCGCTTGGAGCAAGCCCGGTGTACCGTAGAGGACGCCACCCTGTATGCTACGGATGTTGGCGTTCCAACTGGGAAGTGCCGAGTATTCATAGTGGCCATCAGGCGGCGCCCCGACATCCCACCCGAGACCTCCGCGTCGAAGCTGGCCCTGTGGAAGCGGCACTTACAGCAGAGAGTGACCACGAAGCCGACCGTGGGTGCGCTGCTGGGACGCCAGGGCCACTTCTTCCTGAACCGTCCGACCGGCGACAAGGGAGTCTTCAGTTTCGCGCAACCGGCGGTCACCATCACGCATGGGATCATCATGGGCCGCCGACCGACGGAGTACCAGCCTCACCCGGCCGATGACGGACCCTTCGCCAAGGCGGAGGACCTGTCACAGGAAGAGTTTGTGCAGCTCACTACGTGCCTGACGGACTTCACCGTCCCACCGAGCGTGCGACGGATTAATGTCGCAAGGGCGCTGGAAGAGTTCACCCTGCCCCCCATGCTACGGGAAGCCTTCAGCGCGCTGGGCATCCACGGCATCGTCGACCGCAACGCCGACCATCGTGGTACCATGGAAGATGAGCTGGCGATCGCCCTGGCCAACCTGTGGACAGACTCCACTGACCATATCGCCACCCTGGACACTGCGGCAGCGGACCAGGCACGCTTCGTCGTGATTCCACGAGTCACGAGGGGTATGGCCCGCCGAGCAACACGACCAACTCCAACCCCCAGCACCACACCGCCACCACGGGAGACGGCGAACGCTAGCGAACATCGCAACCGCGACCCTGGGAAGGAGCCCAGGCGTCGGCCACCGCCGACCCCGCCCGCCGCAGAGCCAAGCACAAAGGAACCCGCGCACCCCGGAACAGCCGCGGCACCCGTCCAAGAACCGGCACCGCCCCCGGTGCCGCGGGTGCCACCCACTGACGCTGTGGCTGGCCCCGCGCCAACGACCGCACCGCCGCCGCCGTCGACGCCACCCCCTACACCGGCGACGCCGCGGGAGAACCCCCGGGACGGCAACATCCCGCTGGACACGCCGGACCTACGACGGGGTCTGTCTGCCAAGCTAGCGCAAATGGAGGACACCCTGCGCGAAACCGCCAAGCTCGTGGACGCGCAGCGGCGAGACCCAACACTTCGATGCCT